CTGTTGACCTGCACTTCATTGAGATGTTGTTGCTTAATTCAGTGACACTTAATCTTTAAAAAAATGAAAAAAAAAATAAACTGAATGCTGAGGGCATGCTGTTAAGAGCTGAAAAGCTTTCAATTTGGGTGAAGTCTTCTGTAAGAGATGATGGAAGAGATGACATTTGATTGCCCAAATGTCAAGGGGGAGGACATAGGCTATGAGCTTGTTATTATTACATCACATCAATATCCCACTTTTGGTGAGGGACACCATGGATAAGTGATTCTATGTACATGCTAGAACCAATGAGCTAAAATAGGAGATTTGGCATTCCTGGTTTTAAAGGAGAACCAAGATATAGCGGGCATTATGAAATCCTGGTGGAATGGGACAAAAGCAATGATAAGCAGTGATACCTGGATTCTCTGCAGAACACAATAATTTAAAAAATCATCTTATTTCCCCTTATTAGGGCCAGGAGCATACAACCCAGATGCATGCAACTCAAGAGCAAGATTGTCTTCCAGGGTTACTGTATGGATTTCTCCGGTCGAGCGTTTTAAAGAGGCAAGAGATGACACTCCTGGTCCTGGGGCATATGAGGTATGTTGATATGACAGTGTTATTAGGTAAGTGTTTGCTGCTGATCTTTTAGCAGAATTGCCACATGTACATAATTATCTCCTACAGTACCATAGTAGTTGTGACATTTAAACAGCAGGGTGCAAAATGTTGATGCTTTCATTTGACAGCAAGATGTGGGAATGCAAATACAACTCTCATTTTTTGCTGCAGCAAAAATTTTGGCTGCAGTTCTGTGTGTGTGTGTGTGTGTGTCCTGAATTTAATGGAATTGTCAAAAATTACGTTAAGTGTCTTGTGATTGAGATGGATGGGACATTTCAGGCACCTTAATTTGGCTCAGTGCAAATTTGAACCATTTACTTTGTCATTTGAATTTTCACAGAAGCCCTTTGCCCTTTCACAAAGAAAGGCAAATTATTTCCAAATCCATAATATGGAGGAGCACATTTTATGGATTTTTAGATATTATGACTTTATGGAATTAATTTTCTGCACAGAGAACTTAGTTTGACTTCTGTGGGATGGCAAACATGGCTTATTCCATGAGGTATTTACTCTAGTGTAGATGGATTGAGTTGAATGAGATCTCCTCTTTTGTGCTGTGGATTACTATTGTATTTTGTTTTGGGAATGTTTATGATAAAATGTTTATTAAATGCTAACTTTTATTGTGAAACACTTTGGCAAAGATACAGGATAGAAGTCCTGAGCTAGGAGCTTCCACCAAACACACTCAGGTTAGCATACCACATTTTGAACTGAATGTATTTCTGTTTCTCACTCTTCAAATGGGGCCTATAACTGCTCTCACTGCCCTACCCTGGAAATGGCACTATGGACAGAGCTCAAAGCAATAATCTACCATGTATTTCTTCATGCATACAGAAAAGAAGTAAAAGCTTAGCCAGGAAATTCTCTGCTACCCAATATCTCCATGGGCTTCCCTGCATGAACATTTTAACCTAGCAATTTATGGAGATTTTTGTTTCCAGATTATTTGTGGGATGGAGATTTGCTGAAGAAGGTGTTCCCCAGGTAGGATGCTATTATGGAAAATGCCTTGTCTTGAGAAGCCACCAACTTCATTCTCTTGTTAGTAGGTCATATTCCAGTGCCTCAAAGGACAATAGCAAATCATGGGTAGTTCAGGCAGGAGGATAACATCTTTTGGCTGTTCTAAGTCCAAATTGTTTAGCACTTTGTAGGTAAGAAACACCACCTTGAATTGGGCTCAAAAACAGGTGTAAGTCAGCAAACAAAAACCACATGACCAGGCTTAATCTGGCGGTTGCATTTTTGCTAGCTGTGGTTTTCAAACACTGATCCAAGGCAGACACACACAGATTCCACCTCAGTGGTCTGGATGAGAGCTAATTAAAATATGGATCACCCTGTCCAGATCTATGTTTCCTAAGGAGGGATGCAGCTGGTGCAGCAGACAGAACTGGCTCCTGGCTCCTGAAATGTGTTACTAAATGATAGTAACACATTTTCTATGTATTTTTTCTGCCTAAGCTTTGTTTTTTTATTTATTTATTTATTTTCCGATTTATATCCTGCCTTTTTCCTACAAAGGGCTCAAGGCAGCTTACATCATCTCTCCTCCATCTTATCCCCACAACAACAAGCCTGTGAGGTAGGTTGGGCTGAGAGTCTGTGACTGGCCCAAAGTCACCCAGTTGGCTCCATGGCTGAGCGGGGACTCGAACCCAGATCGTCTGAGTCCCAGTCCCACGCTCTTAGCCACTACACCACACTGGCTCTCTTTCCAAGGGTTACTTTTGGTCAGGGATTGTCATCATCTATATTGGGAACTCATATGGCCTTATCCGAGGTAGGCAACCTTTTTGAGCCAGTAGACACATCTGGCAGTTTGGCAAACTGTATAGGGAAAGCTGAAGGTAGAAGAAAAGGAAGACCAAATATAAAATGTAATGAACTCCTTAAGGGAAGCCACAGCCTTGCCTTGCATTTGCAAGAACTGAGTAAAGTCGTCAAAGACAGGACATTTTGGAGGGTGTTCATTTGTAGGGTTGCTGTAAATCAGAGATGAGTTGACAGCACATGACAACCAACACCTGGGCACCACCAGGAAAACTGCAACCACCACCACCAGTACCACCCATCATGAGAGATGTGATTACTCACAAAGGGCAACTAACCTTACAGAAAGGCAGAGGTCCCAACACATGAAACAGTACTATTTAGAGAAGGGATGTCCTCAGTGACCCCAAAGGATAGGAAGGATAATGATGGTGGTAGGGCTTCTGTGGACTTTCTGTGTTCGCAGAGCTGGGGTGGAGTTCCCAGCATACAGGAGGGAACAGGGGATGCCATTTTCTTGCTTGCACTTTGATAGGAAGTGTATCAGTCTAAGCCTTCACTAGTTAAGGCTGTTGTAAATACATATGTATATGGATAATATTATGGCCCATAATTCTATCAATTCACTGGAAGGAAAATGATTCTGAGGGATTAAAGGGGCAAAACAGTATAAAATAATTAAAACAAATAATGTAATTAAAATATTCTAAATGGTGACCACATTTCTAAAGGTGGAAAACCAGTTACACACCCATCCACACGCACAGTGCTATTCTTGAAAAAACACTGCATTTTCAATTTCAATTTGCTGTTTAAATCATAATACTGCTTGTGAGAATTCCAGCAACATAATTTATAGTTTATTTTACCCTAAAATGTGCAGATCTGTTAGCACAAACTGCAGCGGTTAATTTATATGCAGTACATGTGAATTAATCCATCATTTAAAACAATTTCTACCTGTTAGCCAACTTTATGACATTTTTGTCATATTGAATGATAGTCACTTCTTTAATTTGACAGTATGAAAGTTGGTGGTGTGTCAAATCTTTTTAGTATTCCAGAAGATCTACATGACTTCTCTTTAGAATGCAGAGTTTTCTTTTATTTTTCATATGTGGAACATTTGCTGACTTTAGAAAAGTATTATTAACCCAATCTTTCACTGTGTGTAGGCTGTAATATGAGCTTGCAAACTAGGATTGAAATGGAACAGTCACATACAGAATAGCACACATTTCTGCTACCTGTACGGTGTTGCTTAGTTACATATATAGATAGCATGCTTTAATTTTTATTTATATGAGGCCTGGCTTCATACTTAAAAATGGTCCATAAGTATTTCATGTCTAGAGAATCCTGCAGTGGCGTGGTTTACGTTGCTACATTATTGTATATTATTCATCAGTTATTGCTTTATTTAAAAATTAGTGCTTATACAGTCAGCCTGGTTGAACTTAAGTATTTGTGCAGTTGTTTGAAGGCATTTTGGCACATAAGGTACGGTATCATCCTGGAACATTGATCCTGGAACATTGATATTTTTGTCATCTTTTGCTGAGGTTTTTAAAGATATAGTGGGATATGCACGTGTTTGAGCGCATTACTCATCCAAGGTGGTTTTTACAGGGCTATCCTTCATTGTACATTTTTAGCTGTTCCTAATTCTTCTGCTTAACTGTTTTTTATAATTTTTTTTATTTTTGATAATATTTTATGTCAGGTTATTATATTTCACTGTAGTGTTTTTATGAACTATTGTAAACTACCCAGAGAACTCTGACTATTGGGCAGTATAGAAAAAGGAATTAATAATGGAAATCATTATTGCTATTAATATATTTTAAAATTTATTTCTTTAACATGGAAGTATTTATCCATGTCACCATACTATTGTTGTTGTTACTCGCAAAGTCGTGTCTGACCCATCGTAACTCCATGGACAACATTCCTCCAGGCCTTCCTGTCCTCTCCCATCCCCCGGAGTCCACTCAAGCTCACACCAACTGCTTCAGTGACTCCATCTAGCCACCTCATCCTCTGCCGTTCCCTCCTTCTTTTGCCATCTATTGTTCCCAGCATTAGACTCTTCTCCAGGGAGTCCTTCCTTCTCATTAGGTGGCCAAAGTATTTGAGTTTCATCTTCAGGATCTGGCCTTCTAAAGCCATGTTAAACAGTTGTTTAGAGTGTAGCATATGAATTCTTAAAACAGTGATCTTCACTCTGGCCAGACTTGCAGTCCACCTTTGGTTACACAAATGTGAGACAGCCCACATCCCCAGCAGCAACAATAGCTAGGCACGGCTTGCAATGCAATGCAGGCATGGGTTGTATTGTGCAGTCTAGGTCACAGCCTCACACCATTTTGAATCACAATATTTTCAGTACTGGGAAAGCTTGCTGTGTGTTTCAGGACAGAGGTGAGGAAGCCATACAATTTCTGTCATGTCGGTGTTTCCATAGAGTAGGGAAGGTTATTTTCAAGAGCCTACCAAACTAATGGCAATAATATAATGTAATATTGCATTATAATGAATTGTTATTATAATAATTATGTAAGTATAACATTATATTGTAATTAATATCAAGACAGCAACAATACTTAATTTGTCTTGTTAGTGTAATGGTTTTTTAAATTTGGTTTTAAATTTGGCTTTTAAATTTTATAGCGAATTTTTAATGATGATTTTATTTTCGATATTTTATATTGCTGTTTTTGGTATTTTATGTGCTTTTGTAAAGTGCCCAGAGTTTCTCAGCTATTGGGCAATATAGAAATAAAATACACACAATTAAATAAATAAAATAATGATGCAAGAGTTTGAAGGTATGTTTTCAGACGTTAAAAGTGAAGCCTGGAGTTTCAATTTTCATATGAGGTTTATCAGTGGTTACTTAATGAAATCAGTAATGGAACACAAATCTTTTTGAAATAAAGTTCCTTATCCCTGCTAATATTCCTTACAGTGTGCAAACAAAAATGGGGTCACATGGCATGGTGGTGTTTGGCTAGTGCTTACATTAACTGAGTATGCACTTTTGAATTTGCCCAAATCCTTCGAATGCACTGAGTTTTGTGATGGAAATACTGAGGTTTCTCAGAGGAAGAATCAATGTGGAACCTGCAAGACTGAAGCACACTAGTTTAATGGTCTGTGCCAGGCTCTATGCAGCATCCCAACTGCATATGCTG